GAGCAGGATCAATAACACCAAAACATTACATAATATTTATTTGAAAACTAAGCCAAAAGTCCCCCAACTCACGTGGAACATCAAAATATCTAAGCATTAAATGTTGTTGCATAACACTTAATCAGGGTTCTAGTTTGAAAATGGGACTTCTCCATTCCAGTCTGTTTTGAGAAAAACAAAAAAAAATGTCATATCATCTGTTTAAAACATTCTTATGCTAAATGTTTGAGATTAATTCCCTGACTAGTTGAAATTCAAAACAATAGAATAAGATAATTAAGAATGTCTAGTCATACGAAAAGAAAGTTGAGCTAAAAATTTAAAAAAGACTAATTTGAAATTTAATTTAAGTATTTTGTTATTGTTTGTGAAAAAGTATTTTTGATCAAAAAAACTTGTTTTCATTAAGTATTTTTACAATAGTGTTAATTATTCATTTGATTTCAATATATCATGCTGAAATTTTTATCAAATACGAAGATCAGCAGACCGTGACTGCTGACGTTCACAAACACTAATCATTTTCAGTATCAGCTTATTCAATGCTTAGGCCAGTTTTATTTTCTACAGAATGATACATGTTCTGAATTGGAAAGATCGTACTGTGCAACGAAATGAAGATTATGGAAAATCCGTTCTGATATTAACACATTATTATTCATAACGCAATCTTTCCATGATCTTTAGAAAGCCCTCTGAGTGAACAAAAAATTTGTTACACACAAATTATTTGTTACAAATTATTTTATAAACGACGTTCTAAATGCAACGGACCCCTATTGAAAGCAGTATCTAATTTTTCACCATTGGTGAAAATGTTGCGTTTGAAACTAGACCTCCTCAATCGCCGATTCTCGCAATATTAGAACAATTTGCATTTATTTCAGTTAGAATTGGCATTTGATGCATTCTGTGATAACGCTCGCGGCATTGCCTGCATCCGTTCGTCATTCGTATTAGTTCCGTTGAAAGGAAAAAATCTGAATATGTTCGCACCCAATACGAGGCAGGTATTATAAATAACATCGTCAAGCAACATGAGATATCTTCAGTATTTCTTCTAAACTGCTTGAATCCTGTAATAATGCAAAGCCAACTTCTTAGATAAATAAAACTAAAATTAATAATAATAATAATAATAATAATAATAATAATAATAATAATAATTAATAATAATAATATAATAATAATAATAACAATAACAACAACAACCACATACATTTGAGGAATACAGTGTAAAATATTGGTGAAATATAGATTGCAACAAAATGCCTAAATTTTTTTGCGCTGGCCAGTGTTAGAAGGCACCCGACAAGTATAAGACTGTTCCTTGCAAGTCGCTCCCTGAACTATTGAATGCAATTCACACTCTGCACACGAAATTTGAAAAAAGGCACTATGTTGATAAGTATATACGTCCCTAATAATACCTGGGCACAGTCACTGGCTAAACTCAGTTGACAATTTTTCAGGCAAAAAGTGTTCAGAAAGCAATCCAAATGACCGCCCGCGTGCGCGATGCATAGGTAAATCAAGAATAAAATGAACTTTAAATGTATTGCTCTATATATTTTACTTTTACAAAAATATAATAATTTTTATCTCGTGAAAGCACCAAAACTGACCATGAAAATGCGCTCGTAAAATAAAAAAAATCACCATCAATAGGAAGACAAGAAAAGATACATCAGAAGGCAATCACGCATCAAGAAATAATTCTGGCAACTCGAATTCATTTTCCAATTTGTTCATTAGAATAATTTCAATTGTTGTGGGAAAAGGCAAAAGTATATTCAAAATTTAAACTAAAAAACAAACCTTATTTTTTGCCGGGGATGCACAAAACTACCATTATTATTTTTATTTGCTATCTGTTCAAACGTTGTGTGATTCAACAGGTCTCACCAACTACGGACCATCCCCATAACTTCTAAAACGAGTTCCACGATATCGAAATGTAGTTTTCGCCCAACAATGTGAAATCATGAGCAATGTAATGTGCTTAGGAATGTTGTTCAAAATGATGTTATTTCCGAGAAGATTTAATGCATCTTTAATTTTTTTTAAATGGAACCAGAGTATTTTATCTCACTGCAATAATAGAGTCTATAATAGACGAAGTGCAATTGATGTACACTGTTAATGCTTCTGATAGTATGCTTGAGAAGAAAATTTATACTTTTCCGCCATGTGATTTTAATATAATATTATAAGATTTCAACTGTAAATATACAACCCTTCAACTGCTTCCTTTGGGAAGTGTCCTTCGTGTGTGCAGGCACCTTTTACGGGAAGAGGGGAGAAGAGCCTTGCGAACGCTCACGTTCGCATAAAAGCGATCAGTTGCTGACGGCAGCTACAGAACAAATTGCACTTGAATAAAACTCACTCTATAAAACTATAAATTTTATGCACAAATACAACAAAATATTAAACATATGTTACATCATTGCACACCTCATTTTTATGATCTATTGTGTTAGTGAGAAAAATATATTGTGTCTATTTAAAAAATCAAAATAGATTAAATTTGCAAAACTAAAAAATAATTTCAAACAATATCTCGTTACATCATACTAACTGCCTCATCATTTTACCGCTATAGGACAAGTGAAAATGTAAGGCCAATATCGGAACCGTTTGAAGTATAAGGTTGCCCAGTATGGTAGACTCCCTGTGTGCAAGAGTATAATATGTTTTTCAAAAATCTGCGGTTTCAATTCCGGTTGGATTAGAAGACATGCATTTCTTCAACATTATTTTAATTATCGAAATATGTTGGAATCATTTCAAAACGTTCCGAAATTGTGGCCTCAATAATATTTATTGTAACTAATTAAGTACGAAATGCTTGTTTGCGCATATGTAGAATTGTTTCTTTCTGAACTCTATGCAGCAGGGTTCAAATCCAGGCCGGTATCGGTTTCTTTTTTTTTGTTGTTGTTTTTATTCCTTCATCCGTGATTTTTTTTGTCAAATGAACTGTAATTACATACTCTCTCTATTGTTGTCAATAAAGTAATTACTTTTGAATTATAAAACCCCCCCCCCCCCCAAATAACACTGAAAAGGGCTCTTTATCTTTCTACTTGATATGTGTTTAATTCTCCAAATTACATATTTAGTTTAAATTTATCTATTTTTTATATTAATTGTTATTTATAAATATATTATTTCCAGAAAATGTAAGGAAAACATTAATAAGCGAACCCAAAACCCACAGATTCTACGACCATTCTCATCCTACGTGGCGGAAGAATCCACAAGCTCGCCGCATAGTTTGTGCACTGTAGAGGCGACCTGCTCTCCACTTCATGGATTATTGCCTAGAGGCATCGGCTTGTTAGGTTCCGGATCAGGCCAGTTTTCGGCCATGGTGCGTCTTGTCTCTGCCCAAAACATTTCAATAGGTCGTTCAGATACTGTGTGTTGCTGGCGAAGAGGTCCGTGGACACAGCGCGTCCTGTGGACATCGCGTTGGGGGCGCGGGAGCACAGTGAACCGACTGGGGTGGGAAAGAGCGAATGGAGCAGCTCCTTCGTGATTTCAAAGGAGAAAACCGAACACGTGACATTTACTAATGCAACTAATCGACTCTACCATTTCAAGGTTTGTTTCCTTTCAGCAATTAATTTTATGGTGAAAAATGCCCAATGCCACTTGCAGCTATTAATGTCTTTATAGGTCTTTCTGAAAGCAGTCCCTCTCTTCGCAGTAATCCACATTTCTTTCGTAGAATTATCATGAGTCTTCTGACGTAATCTTAACAGCTGTAAACAATAATTGGTGTCGAAATTGTAGGTTTTCTTCCTCATTTGCGATTAACATAAATTTTTAATGTGTTCATCATTCTTCCTATTGCGAGGAAATATTTTCTGCATATACTGCTATTTATTCAAAGCTGCCTCTGGCAAGTCATCGGCTGTTACGGTGCTATCCAATCGGGATATTACACTTCACTTCAGCGACGTCACTATGGTGTCGTTCAACCTTCCGATTGGATGACACCGAAACATCCGATTTACGTCACAGGCAGCTATGGAGAAATCGCAGTGTGGTAATGTTCATTGGCAGAGAGTGTGCCAACGAGCGCCTTCGCGAGTTCGGGCCCAGTGTGCGGCAGGGGCGCGGGCGGGGATCCCAGAGGCTGCGTTGCCACGCCCCCCGGAACGACGCCCTCGCAGGATTCGCCTTGACTCGGCCGAGGCTCTGGCGGAGGAACTACTTACGACGAGGAGACGCCGAGGCGGAGGAGGTGGAGAGCTCAACCGAGGAGTTGTTCGTCGAAGAAGGAAGTCGAGACTTTTTTCGCTCTTGAGGAAAATAAAATCAAGTGTCCTTGCGAGGATTCTTATCTTTATGTGAAAACGTAACTTCAAGAATATGCAAAATAATGAAGCGTTATCCTCGCATGAAAAAAAAGTCAATCATGATTTCCATTTTCCAGAACAAAGACTGCTCTTCCTTTAAAAAGATCGTGAGAGCTTATGGTGTTAACAAAATGGCGTTCCTTGTTTTGTATTCCTCACCCTTCCTGCATTCGTTTAATCATTTTTTCCATTACTGAGACAATTCAAAGAAAGTATTATACATGGCGAAGTTGATTAAACAATTCACAACGAAAGATTTTTTTGAGAAAGACCACGACATTCTGGATTCGTATTCAAAAGAGTTTTCTCTACTGTGTAGTATGGAGACTGAATGTCTGGTTATTACGAGTGTCCATTTGCGAAGGGGCGTCATACAGTGGCAAACGAAGAGCATTATGTCTTTGAAGTGTCTGCGCGGATTTCGCACGCGCCAACGCCCTGGAATGGCAGGGCCCTCCGGAACGCAGCACCCCAGCGGGGAGGCCGCCGGGAGGTCGTCGCCAGGCAGGGGGAGGGGCCGCTGACCGCCCGACCACCCCGGGAGCGCGGGTGTCAATTTCGGAAGCGCGGCGGGGGGCGGCGCGGAACAAAGCGGGCCGGCGCAGAAACAGACAGCCTGGCGGAAGGGTTGCGCTAATCCTGTTAGCGCGTGCGGTTGGCTGCTGGCGCACGGGTGGCCTGGCACGTGGGCGCCCCCCCCCCCCCACCTCTCAGGCGCCTTCAGACTCGCGTTCACGCGCAGGCTCCTGATAATCAAGCCCTTCCTGTACATGTGTAAGGACCTGTCCTATTCCTGTGTATGCACTGTACATGTGTTCGGTTTCATATCATCTAACTCTTCCTGTACAAGTATATGATTCTGTCCAGTTCCAGTGTATGTATATTTGTGCTTATGTTTATATCCAGCGTATATTTGTGACATGAGATTCGGTGCCGTGCAAATAATGTTAGGTGTTTGGAAAACTCTTGTGGTAAGGAGATTTCTATAGTTTCCATTTTTCGTCGCTGCCTGCGCAGGAGGATTTGGCACTGGAGCCCACAACCCGCGACCCTCGGGATGGAAGGAAGGGACACGCCTACCTCTCAAACATCCCGGGTCAATGCGCTGGTTTGAGATTCAGATATATATACCCTCTCGTGACATAGAAATGTGAATTATATACGTAACAAATTTTGTGCCGTGCAAATCAGTACAGAATTTGTATTGACAAAATCTTGTAGTTCGGAGTTTTCAACAACACACCAAAGTAATTCCTTGATATCAGATACAGCATGGTATTTAGAACTTCATCTTACTGTGAAAGTGTAGCCGAAATTATTTGAATACTGCTTATCAGAACAATAAATAAATAATAATTCACAGACGCTTTACTTCTTGTTATGCGAGCCGGGCAGGTAGAAAAGCAATGCTACATATTACTTAAATGAAAAACTATCATAAAATGCTGGCTCAATTGCTACTACCCCTATCAGTTAGGATAATGAAATAATATATTACACGATATGTTTCGACATAACAAGAAGGGACGTACAATTTACATCTCAGTTCTGTTAGAAAATACTAAAATTCATTTAAAATTTCAGGGCGAGTCCATGACCCTTTGCGAACCTGCAGATCCTTGCTGAGCATGTCCTCACTTCGTCGTGAGCGCCTCCCGGGAGAGAGCCTATTGACGGGCGATATTGACTTCTGCTGAAGGATTCCCACTCGGCCGCAGCCCACAGCTTGTTTACCTGTCCAATTCTATCAGCGATGTATTCATATCGGCGCCTATTCTTCTGCGGCGAGATGTCAGATAAGGCGCGGGGACTGTCACCCTTCGAACAAAACGACGCGTGGCGAGGTGGGGAGACGACGAAGGGTGAAGGCGGGCGGGGGGGAAGGCGCTCGGCAAAGGGTGGGGTGGGCTGGGGCGACGCCGGGGCGGGGGGAGAGTGCGGGGGCAGACAAGGGCGCGACACTAATCCTGAAGCTTCAGAGAAAAAGCCTCAAAAGCTCTTGTGAGGCCCTTTGAGGACGTGCTGTCCTGCAGCTGCGAGTTCGACAGGTCCTCAAACGAAGAACTTGTTAACTGTTTATTCGCGCGTAGCATGGCCGAGGTAATATTCTCTTGGTATGTGAATTTCCGTTATGTTGATCGGGAAGAGGTACACGTAGGAAAATTTTTCAATCATCGATAGTTCAAGACGTAATAAAGGTACATCTCATTTGACTCAGACTATTAATTGATTGATTGGTTGTTTAGTGATTCCAGATACGTCAATAACCACCTACGGGTCAACACTACACACTACCTACGGGTCATTAGTCCCGTAAGAGTAGTACGTGTTTTTGCTCGAGAGGTGGCGGTGATCTTTCCCTCGATGTATGGCGACCTAGCCGGTCGGGGTTTCCCCAACGAGGTATCTCCCACCAGCGTGGCACCGCTCCAGCCGGGACCAGCTCTTAGCTCCTGAGGGGTCTCCCAGCATGTTTGGTAGTGTAGTGGATGTTAGTGCAAGTGTCTGTAAATGGTGAGAATATGACAAGGAAGAGAAAGGTGATATCGCACGCGGTCTGTGGCCCGTTTGTTAGGGCACTGCTTCGGCATTCACCTGATATTGATCGGAGAAACCACGGAAAACTACTGATCAGAGCAGACGAGCGCTAGAATTATCCTCCCGACAGCCATTGAATTCGTCATAGCTAACAAGACAGTGTCGAAAATCCTGCCGCCGTCGGTACTCTAACTAAGTACCTCCCGGTCAGAGGGAATGTGTTCTCACAGGAACTGTCATCGCTTAGAGCAAAGGCACATCAACAAAATGTTTATTCAACAAAACGAGGCGCTTTAACCCTAATATTTGCCTCGATTCATCAGGATTTCTCAGAGGAGTGCATTGAAAGACATCTTCATCTCCGCCGCCCCGCCCACTCCGCCGCCGTCACTCGACAGCAAAGCGACGCGGCACGGCACAGCACGGCACGCCGCGGTTCACGCGCGCCAAAGAAACAAATAAATCTCGTGGTGCGCGAGCGAGCGAGCGAGCGGCGGCGCTGCGAACGCGGCGAAAGGCAGGCGGGCGGGCAGGCGGGCGCGTCGCGGCGCGTGCGTTTTTGCCTCGCGCCGGCCGGGGTATTTCGAGTGCGCCGCGTCCAGGGTTCGTGAACATCGCGATGAATGCGTTGACAGAGTGCCAGCGCACGCCCCGTGCTAGTGGAAGGCCGCCGCCGGCGCACTGTGCTCTGGATTGCGAGAGCGGGGCCCATCATGTCGGCAGAGCCCACTACGATTCTCGTTTATTCACGCGTGTTACAGCTTTGTTGTATCGTGGCAAATTTCACGATAAAAATAATCCATAACTTACAAACATTATTCTTGAAATATTTTAGTTGCAATGTCTCTTATAGTTATATTTAATATATTTGGAACTGACAAAATTTAGCAAATTTATTTTTATTTTTACGAGGTTTGTACCCTTATTTTTATTTAATATTTATCGCTGCCATCTGTTAAGATCACCTGATGAAAACCCGAGGGTTTAAACGTCGTGAAAATAAGTATTAAATTTGATCAATGTCCACTATGTATTTTAGTTGTTATAGTTCCAAGCCAATCGATAGTTATTCTGGAGGCAGCAGATGTTTTTCTAATTTAAACATATCTTCTATTCAATTGTACAACATGACACATTCCACATTTTTTGCGTTTTTCGATTCAGTTTGTGTCATATTTTTTAATGCGTGTGAACTGCGTTTAACAGGTAACTGCGTCTGAAATCAACAATGAAGACGGCTTCGGCTGAATTTTCCTCGAAGCAACGTGATCTATTAATTTTGACCGTCTACTTCCGAGACGAGCGCACAGTGCGCCGCCGCCGACGTCGTCGCCCCTGGCTCCGTTCTGCCCAATAGACCGCGGCGCGCTTCACGGCGCTTCACGGCCGGGGTCGCCGATCAAACGCGGGCGAAGGGGGAATGCGGCGGCGGTGGTGGTGGTCGTCACACTCATTAACATCTCGGCGATGCTGGTGAGAATGAGAAAGGTCGCACTTTTCAATATTCATTTTGAAGTATCGATATTCCATTTACCATCGGTTTCGATATCAATATGAACTATACATCTCCAATGACAACGGCACTACAATTGGGGATTTTTATTTTCAGTTGAGAAATATCGATATGGGTGAATAGGAATAGTGTCTGGAAGTATCGTATTATCTGTTAATATTAAAAAATGAAATTAAAATATAACCAATGGAACACACAATTATAGCTAAAGTGATAATAGTATGTATCCCTTTGGCGAGTTAAATAATACCGGCTGACATCTTGTGCATAAATGCCCATTTGCTAATGCTGGCGTTTCGAACCTTGGTGCGGAGAGAGGCGCGCCCGTGCCCTGCTTCGTGGCGACGGGGTTGGCAACG